TAAATGGAATGTCAGAGAAAATTTGTTAGAGCAATTTTGTTTTACAGTTCTGTTCTTTTAAGACAAATATATTTGTAAGTTTCTGAGTGAAAGAAGAGTTCTAGATTTTATATATTTAAATATGTAGATTGGACCATATTACTATACATTGTCAAAGATTGCTTCTGTCTTGCTCATTATTACAGCCCAGTGTCAAGGTCAGGAACTAGACATTGAATTTGCTGAATGAAAGACAGCTGATTCTCACTTAGCCTTCTTGTTGTCACTGTTGCCATTTTCCTCAGCCTCCTCAGAGACCTGCAATGCTCAGAACATAGTGCTCAGTGAATGCAAACTGATTAAGGAAATGAGCGTTACTAAGGTTACCACCCACCTTTCACCTCCAATGAAAGCAGAACCCCATGCCCGCACTGTCTCTCTCTCTCTCCTTCTCTCTTTCCATCCTGACCTCACTGTGTGGCCCCACGTGTGCCATGTAATTCCCACCCCCCCACAATTTCACTTATTCTTTCTCCGAGGATGCTGTATCGTCTGCTCCGCATTCACATCACCTCTACAGCTTACTTGGTAAGGAAGCAATGTACCACAAGCAATTTATGTATGTGCTTTTGTCTGAGCTTCAAATGCCTAGAACTAAGGCTGCTGAAAACATTTCTTAGAGGTTTCAGGCACAAGGGTGGGATTTTAGATCCTCTGCTTTTCTTTTCTATTGTAAAGTCCAGCAAGCTCATTACATAGAGTTCTCCTGACCTTGTCAGATTCTGCTTCTGGAAAGTGGCCCATACTGGAGTAGGTTCACACTAATACCTGCTGCTCCATGGTCTGTGTTTGCCTGAGGTTTTACAGCCCCTCATCCCCCTTGCTTCCCTGAACTTTCCTCCTGTCTCCAGCATAGACTTATCTGCCCATCACGTATAAGGAGCTAAGTTTCCAGCCTGTCTTCATGGCAGCACCTTCCCCTAATCCCATTCCCAAATAGACATATTGTTTGGCAGATGACACTCAACAGGTGTGCATGATGTCTTACAAGAATTGTAGCTGCCAGAAGAGACATAGCTAGAGAAGATCTAACACTTGTGTTGATCTGCAGGCATCTGTCATGGCCTGGCAGCCCTGAAGGCCATGGGCAGGAAGCCAAATACAGAACAAGAGGGCACATTGCCATCCTAGCAGATGGGCATGCAGAGAAGTAGCCAAGAGTCTGTATAACAAACACCATGGACATGGTGACAGGACAGGACATTCAGCCTGTAACATTCAATTGGCTCTTTATCTGTTGCTTAGAAACCTTGGGTTCAGGAGCAATGTCTTTTCTAATTATGACTTGAACTGGGGACATTCCCATCATAACCAGGATCTGTGACTGCTATGGGTTAGTGTTGGGCAGCAGGAGCCCAGCTGGATCTTTGAAGCCAACGGAGCCAAGAATAAAACCTTTACTTGGAATGAAAGTGGCCTCTCTTGGAGCTGAGTCAGTATATGCTGTCTGGTTTTCAGAACTGAGAGGTGAGAAATAAAGATGGATTATTGCTTGCTTGTGTTCTTTTCTCCTGCTTTCTCTCTGTATGAGCAGGAAAACCAGGTGAGGCACAAAATGGTAAAAAATAAACCCTTCCTATAATGGCATGCCAGACTGGGCTGGCCTGAGTCAGTCTAGAGAGGACAGAAAAACAAAGAAGTGACTGGACTCTGAATCAATACGTTAAAGAGCCTGCAGGATTACTGTCAAGGATCATGCCTGCCATGGACTCACAGGTCAGATCATCTAATTTCAACCCCAGCACCCCACTTACTAACTGTGTAACTATGGCCAAGTTACTAAAGCCTTCTTCTGAGCCACAGACTCTTTGTTTTAGAGATCTTGATTTCAATAACAATTTGGGCTATTTGTTTTTTCTTTCCCCATGCTTTAAATTCCGGCTCTTACGTTTTAAATTCTCCAATAGTGAATCCATGAAACCCTAGACCCCCACCTTCAACCCCAATGGAGGCAGAACCCCAAGCCCACACATGCGCTCTCTCCTTCTCTCTCTCTCTTTGTATTTCTCTCTCCCCCAAACTCATTGTGTGGCCCCAAGCATTTCAATGTAATTTCCAGGACTTCGAAGTCATAAACATTGTCTCTTTCAAAGTTTCCAGATGGCTATTGCTGCAAGTGTCTTGCAGTCATAATAAGGATCAAAGGCTGCATCTAGCCACAATGGTTATCAATAAGCTGGAATACCATATCACCTCTTCCAATCTTTCTAAAAATTAGCTTAGTATTATTTATGTGTCCATTACTTTTCTTTTATTGGTTATTAGCACTACCTCCTTGTATTAGTTTTTCAATCATTACTATAAGGTTTACAATATACACCTTCAATTTATCATGGTCTGTCTTCATACCATAGTACAGCACTTAATGTATAGTATAAGAACCTTACAACAATGTATCACCATTTCCTCATTTCCTTTGTGGTGTTATCACTGTACATTTCACATCTACATAGTGATAAATCTTATTTGTTACAATTTTTGTTTTAAACAATTAACTGTTTTTAAAGAGGTTAAATTTTTTTAATTGCATTTTATTATTTTATGTATCAGTTCCTGTGGCCTTCATTTCTTCATGTAGATCCCAATTCCATCTGGTATTATTTTCCTTTGCTTGAAGAACTTTAAAATTTACTGAGTGCAGATCTGCTAGTAAGGAATTCTCTTAGCCTTATTTGTCTGAAAAAAGTCTCTATTTCACTTTAATTTTTCAAAGACTGTTTTGCAGTTCTAGAATTCTAGGTTGACAGTTCTTTTCTCTCAGTATATTAAAAATGTCACCCTATATTGTCTTCTGTTGTGACTCTTATCCTTGTTCCTTTTTATGTAATGTATTAGTTTTCTCAAGCTGCTTTTAAGATCTTCTTTTTATAATTGATTTTCAAAGTAAGTTGATTAGGGGGTGCCTTGGTGTAGTTTTGCTTATGTATAGTCTGCTTGGAAATCATTGGGCATCTTGGATATGTATGTTCATAGTTTTCATCATCATATTTAGGAATTTTTCAGCCATTATCTGTTTAAATATTTTCCTCTCCTCATTGCTTTTTCATGTACTACAAATAAAGGCATGAGGTTGAACAGAAAAAGAAGGAAAGAAAGGAAAAATATGATGCTGATTTTGAGACAGCTATGTGTTCTTCAAGGCTAGATACCAAGAATGAAATGAGAAATTTATACCTGTAGCCCAGTACAGCTCTAAGGAGGAATTTGAAATTTGGACAGATTTTCCTACATTAGGTTCTAAAAAACATCAGTTCTACAAGATGTTTTCCCAAGAGTTCCACAGAAAATAAGTGAGTAAGGCTTCACAGTAGATCTTCCTCTTAGTGAGTCACAATAGCTGTCATCATACCAAAGTCTGTGGAAAGATCTATGTTAAAAACCCATTAGCATCCAGATTTATTAGAACATGTACTTTTTAAATCAGTAGTCCTTCTAACAGCCCTTAGGATACTATATTTGGGAGTCATCAGCAATTAGATAAAAGGAAAAATGGACATGGATATTATTTCCCAGAGATGCGGTGAGGAATGAATGAGATGGGAACATAGAATTCAAAAGGTTTTCCTGCAGTATTGTTCTGTTAAATTGAGAATGAATAAGTGAGAAAGGTATGTTCAATTGGTATACCCTAATAAAGGACAGTGGGCAGCAATGTTTTGTACAGATGCCATGAGAATAATAGTCATATTTATATCAAATAAAGAGGAAAGTGGTACAGAAAGAGGTCCAGTGGTTAAGCAAGAACTCTGAGAGGTGCAGAGATCTAGGGCTAGCATTTCAAGCTTTCTGGCTTCATGTCCAGTTCTCTGCATAGGCTCAGCACTTTTACAGTCCTTCCTAAATCTGGATCAATGAGGGCACTTTACATTCCGTTCAGGAGAGAACCCATCTCTGCTGATGTTTTCATGCTTTACTGCTGGCCAAAGAGCTGAGAGTTACACTGTCCAAAAACCACATATCTGTCTTGAGGTCAATGATATTGACATTTTCTTCCTGATTTGGAGGTGTTTTATCCACAATCTACAGTAAATCTGATTTAGTCTCATTCTCCATATCACTGATAATTCTGACTTTGGCAGGAGCATGTGTCATCCCAGAGAAACGAAGTGAGGAGGAGGAACTCGATCTGAGATACCAGTGTGATATATAATGAAAGACTGAAATTTGGCTCCTGGTTTTTTCACCTAGAATTAGGGTCCCCCCTAAGAAACTTGGAAATAATTTTTTACAGCACATTGGGTCCAATCCCACCCAAACAGATCTGTGTCACCATATTTATTTGGCTTACTAAATAGCCTGTTTCAACCAACTGTGCAAACTTAAGTCACAGAAGCCCCTTTATATGTGATTAAGGAGGGTTGAGAAGGAGGTGGGAGGAAAAAATAACAAGATGTGTTAATGAGAAAAATCCATAGAGCATCTTTCAAAGCAAGGTAAAAATCTAGTTGAGAGATACAGAACTAGCCATTGTCTGTTCCTGCAAGGTGCTTTGGGTATTAGGGGGTCTCCAGCCATAATGCATGGACTCTCCTGTGGACAGAGCCCCAGTGGTGGACAGTGCCTCAAAACGAATTTGCAAAGAAGCACACAGAGAGCTTGAGTCCATGCCCCTCCTCCCACTTGTGGTGAGGTCTGTTTTATTGTTATAGCCCTTCTTCATTCGTCTGGTAACAGAAAACTGCTTTTTCTATTGGGAATCCATGTTTCTATATTCCTTGTAATCCTTGTGGAGCTGTCCTTATAGTTGTGAGTGTGTAACTAAGACCAGCCAATCAGAATACTTCATCTCTCTTTACAATGGTTGGGTTAAGTAAGAATAGGCACATGGCTCAAGAAAGCGTAAGCCTTCCAGATAATTGATATTTGGAGACTGGAAGTGCAGAGAGAGTGGGGATGGGAAAAGTTCTTTTTCTGAATAATAAATTTTAAAGACATGACCTTGGTCATCTCTCTTACCACAGAAAGTCTGTGAGAATTGAACCTACTACATGCAGAGGAAGAAGAGCTGAAAGATGGAGATTGAAGAGACAGAGACAACAAAGAAAACTCGAATAATCTCTTCTGTGTCACTGAATCAAGCTCATTTCAGATATGTAAGCCAATATATTCTCCTTTCAGCTTTAGATTTCTGAGGCTTTTGGCTAAATGAGTGCTAATACAGTACATGTTGAAGTCCTTCATGACCATACTCTCTAGGACCATGTTTTACTAGTGCAAAAAAAACATGACCTAGTTTGCTTGTGGTACTCCTCTTGAGTAGGGGATGTGATTTAGACAAAAGTCATCTAAAGATATGAGATGGAGGTAATGTTTACATCATAGTGATCTGAGTCACTCAAAAAAGTTTGTCGTTAAAAGAACATTGAGGAAACAGAGCCAGGAGACACACCAGAGACACAGCAATGACTATTGACCATTTCTCTGCTTAAGGAGGGACCATTGTCCTCCCACTACACTTAAGAGTAGCTTTCATTAAAACTAATAAAGCTTATTTCATTAATTGCATTTTGCTACATAAGTGACAATCATGTCAATATCCTTTTGCTATAGAAGTGAGGCTCACGTAATAGTTTCAAATATTAATCATTGATTTTTTTCCAAGATTATTTCTCATTACCCACACCCTTATAAGTAGAGTAACTGGGCATCGTGTCTGCTCTGTTACAGGGATGAGATGACCCAGTAGAATGCCTAACTCAGTTTTCAGCTTTTGAGTTATAGAAGTCTAGACAGAAGGACGTTGGGGGCAATAGAATAAAGTTGAGTAGTGGGTAAGATTCCTGCGAAGGGGCCTCCACATCATTAGGGAAATGAGATCTTGAAACAGAATAATTTTGAGTTACAAAAAATGCAACAGTTACATTTCTGAAGCACTAGAATTACTGGGTAGACAGATTCATACTCACTATTGAAATGTTAAAAATATTGTTTAAGAGTAAAATTATCGACAAAATATTTTAAATCATTTGTTTAGCATTACATTTGAAATTAGGATCACTAAGTATAAGGTTTTGTGTTCAATAGAACTTTTTTTGTTACAGAGTTAGCACTTAACTCTGTATGGGCTATGGCCTCCGCACACCTGCATCCCATGGATTTGTGCCTGGGGATACTTCCTCTTCAACTTATCAAAGAATCCCCCTCCCTAGGCCAGCAATGCATAAAGGTAACTGTTAAGGAAGGCTAGCCTAAAGAAGGCGGCCCACTCAGCACTCCTGCGGTATGACTGTCAGCACCGAGCCCACCCACGTCCCCTAACAGAGGGTCTGCAGAGCCCGTCTGTGTGGGAGGCAAGGCACCAGGAAGGGCAGGCAGTTCCCTGTGCTCCAAGTTAGCACCGTCTACCGCAAAGGAAAGACGTCTTTGTCTTATTTGGCCATGATGACATGTTTTCCTTTTCTTCATTTCAAGAAGGGAATATTGTTTATTGAACAGAAAGTATGCATCAGGAGACATATTAGCTGCTTTATGTGTGTCATCTCATTTAATGCTCACAACAGTACTATCTGGTAGGTTTTATTAGCCCTACTTTCAAATGAGGAAACAAAGCTCAGAGAAGTTTAGTGACTTACATTAGGACATACAACTGGGGAAAATTGTGAGTTGAAGGAAAATTAGCCTGACTTTGAAGCCTGTGCATTTCAGTGATACCTCACACTTCCCAAATTTGAACCACATAAAAGGGATCAAATTTTGGCTTGATGGCTTAGTGTTAGGGGAAAATTCATTAAACCCTGTCTGAATGATCTGTTTGAACAATGCTAACTCTTGCTACTCTTGGGCCAAGAATCCTCTGCCCCTACATATTCATATAGCTGGCTTTTCTCATTGTCAGGTCTAAGCTAAAATGTTACTTCCTAAGAAAGAGTGGTCTTACTGACCTTACCTAAAGTAGAAGAGTAGCCCCACTCCCCAGACTCTATCACATCATCATTCTTTCTGTTTACCATGCCCTGAGATGATCTTTCTTCAACAGGAAATCCCCCATGTGCCCCTTAGCAGGTCTCTGACTTCCATTCTTGTGTCTCTCCCCTGATATCACAGGAGCCAGAGTGAGCCCTCTAAAATGCAGGTCAGTCATTACACATCTCCACTCAAACTACTCAAAGCCCTCCCACCGCCCTCAGAGTAAAACTCCAAGTCCTCACCTAGTTTGGTCTCTCCCTCTACCTCCCTGACTCACTCTGACCCAGTCACTGCTTCCTGAACAGGCTACAGGATCTCTGCCTTTGCAATTTGTCTGCACAGAATAGATTTGCCCAGATATTCTCACTCCCTGCTTCCCTTAGGTCACTGCCCATTGTACCTGGTTGCTTAAAATAGTGAAGAATGATATAATAAATCTCACTTTTTCATTTAACCAAAGTCACTTTATAGGCATCCTCACAAAACTAATACATCGTTTGATTCTACTGACCTTCAAGGATACAAGCTTCTAAAGGAAAAAGTATAAATCTGTTCATCTTGTTATTTCTAGAAAAAAAGAATAGATTTAATCTACCCTTAGTGGTCAAAGATTTAAATGATCTCATTTGGCATTTATACCATTCTATTTTTCCTTCATTTCTATAAGCTGCTATTTTAAAATTTTTTTATCAGTTCATTTATTTGTTCATTTACTCATTTATTCAGTGATCATTTTTGAGCACCTACAAATATCCAGCAGTGCAAATTCAAAAATGAACATGACCTGGTTCCTGTCCTCAAAGACCACACAAAATCTAGTGACAGATGTTCCTGCAAACCCTTAGTAGGGACACTGTGACATGTGCCACCTCTTGTTTCCATGGGGGAGTTCCCCATTAAGCTATTCCAGAAACACATTTTCAGAATTACAAAAGTAAAAAGAACATTCTGGAATCTCATTTTTAGGGAGCCAATACAATAAAAGACAGACAGTCGCTGATGAAATTTAGTGTTCATACCAAATAGCATGCTCATTTTTATATATTTATGTGTCTCAGTAATAGAGTTTTGACTATAGCTCCATACTTTTCTTAATTCAGTGTTCAATGCCAGACCAACCTGTTGCATAAGAGGTAACTTTGATGAAATCAAGGGGAAACAGTAGGAGAAGGGCAAGAGCCAAAATTGGTATTTATTTTTTTATGACACTAAGTAACTAAATGATCACTCACAAGTCCTGACTCCTGGTCCTGCCTTCCATTCACCCTAACAATTCCTCTTGGGTTGGAAGAATTAAGAAATAATAAATGAGGGAATGAAGTATGAATCAGAAGAATGACAGCACATAATTTTCTTTTGGTTGTAATTTATTTGTGACCAAACATTTAATGTCAGTGAGTAATGACTGCAAGTAGAATGCATTCAGAAACCCAGTTTGAGTGCATTGATAAATGAATATGTAGAGGAGGCACAGAGTTGTTCTATTGGAGAAGAGAAGGTAGTAACTGTGAGAAATTGTAGATTTTGGAGACCCTGAAATATGGTTTCACTGCCTTGTTATAGGCAATTTACTTTAAAATACTTCCATGTAACTAATAATATATTGTGTGTGGATATATGTTTATGGATGGATGCATTCTGCATGTTGATGTGTGTGAATTAACTTTAATTTATACCTTAGGGACAGCCAGTTAGCACTTGAAGTACTCCAATTAAGAATTCACATTCCAGAGTGACTATACGAGCATTTCAAATATTTATTCTAAATGTCTTCTGATGATACGAGGTATTAATTTAGAAAAGGAATATTGATTTTCCCCTGCTGGTAAAAATAAGTGGTGTTCAAGATCTCTTGTTGACTAGAAATATTTAAAAGCTTCAGTGCCTTTTCATGAACCAGATATAAAAATCTGCCAGGTGCTCAGCCCCTTCAGAGCATTACTTTAGGTCTAGAATTGGTTTGGGACCTGGGTAACATTGACTAATGACTGTTCTTATCATCCTGTCCAATTAGAAAGTAGCTGAATGGGAGTCCATTTCAGAAAAAAAATCATTCAAGCATGGCACATTTGGAGTGCCTGATGTCATAGGGTGTCCCATCATAGGAGGAATGACAGTTTCTGCACCTGCTCAACAGCAGTTAAACAAGCAGTTTAGAAGTTGTCAGGAGACTTACATTCCTGTAACATCCCACTAACAGTGAAGTTGTAAGCAAGGAAAATATATAATAGCTACTGCCTCTAACCACAGGGCTCCACTGAAGACCGCCTCACCGACTTAGATCGGTTCTCATCAGGCTTCCACCAGAGACCACAGTCCTCCTGTAATCTACACTGAATCATAACTCTGGGGCAGAAGCACTACAATGAACAATCCCCCCATTACAAAATGTTTTATAGTTTTGAGAACCACTTAAAACCCACACAGAGGAATAAGTGATGAGCAGAACACCAACCACCTGAGACATCTCTGAGGAACCATCATCCTCCAAAAGAGGCTGGGGCACAATGGAAGTTACACAATCTAGATTAGACATATCTCATTGTCACACAGAAATTAATTGTGGAAAAGCCTTGTGATTGGTACTATAAGAAATGAGTGTACAAAGACCTTTATGGGTCTATTAAAATAAGCACAAACCAACCCGTAGTTATTTAAATAAATAATCGCAGAGAAGCACATTTTTGTCTAAAAGTTTCTATAGAACAAACATCTATTTGTTCTCCCAATTTCCTAGGCTCTGTTAGTGGAGCTTAGTAGGTAAATAAATAAATAAATAAATAAATAAATAAATAAATAGAATGGTATTCTGCAGCACCTTAAATCTTCATAAAGTTTATCTGCCTCCGAAATGATATAATTAGAGGAACTAAGGGCAAGCAGAGGGAGAATGAGATTGCTCCCTTAAGGTAATTGCTGTGTGATTATTACTTAGTAGGAAATTGTGAGTTGTATAATTTTCTTATTGTTCATTGCTGCCAGTTCATTTTAATCTGCAGAAGGTTGAACAAACCCCAAAATAAACAGCGAAATCCTAAAATGTGAAATTATCCTAATGGCAGTAAATATCTGAGGTGTTTTGATAATCAGTAAAAAACTTCTGAGGTCTAAAGGTTGGGGTTAGAGCATCATCTCTCTTTTGAGATTTCAGTTAAACTGTGTGTGTAGACACAAAACAAACATCTTA